CATTTGCAGGCTAGAAATATAAGCCACTCAAGATTTCCAATTATATGTTTTGACTGCTTTAAGGTGTCTCAAGCTGGGTACCCTCCCCCCAAACAGGGTCACCCCCAAATCACTAGTCACTTTTGAAATGAAGGTCAAACATTTAAGACTTGCTTCTGCTCTGATTTCAAGTGGCAAAATTCTCATTGACTCCAGTGGGAGCAGGATCAGATCCTGTATTCAATACAATACTAAAAGGACTTTACAATGCCTCTTGTCTTAGGGACAGATTTTTAAAGGTATTCAGGTGTCTAGTGTGATTTTCAAAAGTAATCTAGGCACCTAACGCACATCAATTTCAATTGGGACCTTTTGAAAATCCCACTAGTGCCTATAGCCTCAAAGGCATTTAGGCACCTAACTCCCACTGAATTTAAGGATGTCAGGTGCTTAAATATCTTTACAAATCTGGCCCCTGGCTACTTTCAGTGGTCCTAGGAGTCTCTGCATTTTTCATTCTTTCGTCCCGCTCCCACTGAAATCAATGAGGGGTTTTGCCAATTACTTCAACGGCAGCAAGATCAGATGATTTAGCAGTGTCATTACTTAAGATAGCCCGAATTCTGTGGATAGTGCTAACTAAAGAGGGGAGGATTTTATCGGAGACTTGGTTTCACAACCGGTGATAATTGCTCCGGTTTCATTGAAGTCATACAGAGGAGCATTAAAAATAAGCCACTAAAGCAAATGAGGGCTAGTGGGCCACACGTAAACTCTGCAAAGCTTAAATCCACCATGGCCCTGGAAGGCTTACGCCCTACATGACATTTTAATCCAACTCATTTGCTAGATTCAGCCTAACTGTAAACAAGCCTTTGAAATGAAAGCTTAAAAGCCTAGTGGTGATACATTAACTTAATCAAGAAAATACTCTGAACACATTAGTTTAACAACAATCAAAATACAAGTGGCTACAGTCTCCCCCACCCTAGGGTTAATAATAATAATATAAAAAAATTTTGATTTTCATTTTATTTGTAAATATAAGGACTGATCCTAAATATAAGGACTGAGCCATTTGACATCAGTGGAGAATCTTTCCACTGACTACAGTGGGCTTTGGATCATGCCTGTGGTGAGGTTTGAATCTCCAGAACAGAATATTATTAAGAGAGGTGGTTGAATAGTATATGTCGGCTTTATTATCTGACAAATTTCACTGGTTTGTTTTCTCAGTCAGCTGCTTATTCCACAAGCCACATTTTCTGGAATTCAATCAGCTCTGATGCTTATTGGTCTGATGGAAAGCCCGCGGCTAGAGTTCTGTGCCTGGAAAGACTCCTTGCTAAGCCTTCGGTAAGTGTATCCTGTTAAGGGAATCAAATATCATGGCTTGTACATGTGCAGGGGTGGAACAGGCCTATTGCAAACTCCAGCGTGGATCCCAGTTTGATTTTTTAAAAGTTAAGTGTCCCCAAATGCAACTTCAATGGTGTGAGGAAGGAGACAGCTGAAAGATAGGAGCGAGCGATAGCTCAGCCCCTCAGACACCCTGAGCCCAGCTGGCTCCAAAGGCACTTGAGCTGAAATCCAAAGCTGCAAAGAACTTGAATAGCCCTTTCAGAAGTTTCCCCCCAGATCTCAGCAAACGACTCCTGCAAGCTTCCTTCCTGCTGCTTCTGGTTGACTGGAAATTAATCGACTTATCATCCGCCCTTTCCCCATCACTTCCCACCTAGGGCAGAATTTGCCACTTGGCTCCCTGTGCAGAAGTCTCACAGATTAACCCTTGATTCTGATAGCACCACTTCAGGCTAGTACAGGGGTAGGCAACCTATGGCACGCGTGCCAAGGCGGCCCGCGAGCTGATTTTCAGTGGCACTCACACTGCCCGGGTCCTGGCCACCGGTCCGGGGGGCTCTGCATTTTAATTTAATTTTAAATGAAGCTTCTTAAACATTTTTAAAACCTTCTTTACTTTACATACAACAATAGTTTAGTTATATATTATAGACTTACAGAAAGAGACCTTCTAAAAACCTTAAAATGTATTAGTGGCACGCGAAACCTTAAATTTGAGTGAATAAATGAAGACTCGGCACACCACTTCTGAAAGGTTGCCGATCCCTGGGCTAGCATAACAGTGAGGAACATGTCTGGTTCAGAGTTTCATCAAATTGTTCCCAGAGAGCTGTACATATGTGTACTGACCCCATCCCTCCACCATACCTTTTTTTTTTCCAAGCCAGGTCCTTTTTATCTAATCCTCCAAGAAATGCTTCCATCTGCCATGCAAACCCACCTTTCATTTCCACAACTTCAGAAGGTCCCGATCCTGTTCCCATTAAAGTCCCATTCACTTCAAATGAAAGCAGGTAGGCTCTATAATTGCTAAAGAATCAGGAAAGTGTATGGCTCTGATCCCCCACGGCTTACTAAGGCAAAACTTCCACAGACTTCAAAGCAGTTTTGCCTATACAAAGATTGCAGGCTCAGGTCCTACATCCCACAGTGCCATATTTACAAGAGTCCCGTATAATTATTTTTCTTCTGAAAGATCATTTTACCTTTCTCTATTCCATTCAAAAAGTTCAAAAACAGAAAAATAAACTTTGGAATGCTACGCAGATAATACTGTTTACATGAGACTGAACCTTTTCAAACTTCTGTTGGGTATAAAATATCTTTCTGTGGTTAGCTTTATGGATTTATTTTACAAATAGTCTAAATACCTTTCCGGGTTTTGTTTTTATCTCCCAATCAGTAAAATAAAAAGGTAAGTATGATCCAAGAATTAGAAAGTAGTTCTGTTCCACCAACTCCCCTACAGATTTGGCTACTGCTAATTGATTTTATGCAGAAGACACATAGATACTATGATGATGAGCAGCAGTATAAATCCCTAAGAGTCTGAAGAGGTGAATCTGAGTGAGGAGGGACTAGTGATGAGAGATAACAGATAATCTGATAGCCTGACCTACACAGGCCATATAAAGCCACCTAACCCTTGTGATCAAGTTCCTAAATTGCCAGGTGCACCTACCTGAAGGTGGACTGGGTTGCATGAATGTTAATTTCTAAATGGCATGCAGAACATGCTAATCAAACACTCCAGAACTGAGACCCTCACAGATAATCATTCATTAAAACATTGGTGTATCCAGGCAAGTACAGGTTTGTACAGGGTTAAACTAAAGATAAGGAATGGGATTTTCAAAAAGGGCCTAAGGGAATTAGGTGTGCAAATTTTCATTGAAAGTCAGTTGGAATTTGGGCATCTAACTCCCTTAGGCAGGGAATTCAAATGAGTCAAGAGCCCCATCCCAGAACACCAACTCACCGAATCAGCTCCAATGCAAATGCTCCTCTAAGGTGCCACAAGTACTCCTCTTCTTTTTGCGGATACAGACTAACACGGTTGCTACTCTGAAACCTGTAAATCAGAGTAGCAGATAAATCCTGTTTTTTTACAATGAGGAGAAAAATCCCATGCTTGCACATTTACATGTAGGAAATTTAGGGTAAAAAAACATGGAGAATATCAGTGGGGAATTCGCCTAAAAAATCCATGCCAGGATACAGCCCTATAAATAAAGGGCAAAGGACCCAGATTCAACATTTAAGGCCAAAGGGGACCATTGTGATCATCTAGTGAGTCTATCCTCCTGTATAACATAGGCCATACAATTTCACCTGCAAGGACTCCTGCAGTGGCGAGAATTATTCTCACTACTACATAAGTGAAAACTATCCAACCGAGTCAATTGTAGATAAATAGAGGACACCTTACAGAAAGGAATCCAATCTCAATTTCAAGATTCCAGGGGATGGACTATAACAGGCTTCAAATAAGAACTAGATAAGTTCATGAAGGATAGGTCCATCAATGGTTATTAGCCAAGATGGGCAGGGATGGTGTCCCTAGCCTTTGTTTGCAGAAGCTGGGAACGGGGACAGGGGATGGATCACTTGATGATTATCTATTCTGTTCGTTCCCTCTGAAGCACCTGGCATTGGCCACTGTCGGAATGGCTTTAGGAGGCTTCCTTTAGGAAGCTGTTCAATGGCTAGTTACCACCAGTATTTAAAAACAGACTTCAGATTTGAAACAGTGAGTATAGCTCTGAAAAAGTGTCAGTAAAAAATGAAAGCACAAGGCACTTGGCATAATTAAAACAATGTTATGATTCTCATATGAATCAGCTGAGTTCTGATGTATTCTATTTTTAAAACCCCCTCAAAACCCTTTCTAAAAAAAGAGCAGTATTAAACAGTTGAAAGGAAAGATTTATTTTTTAAAATCCTTTCTAACAATAAAAGTTATTTTTTTAAAAATAGTCAAAAGATGTTTTTTCCCACAGAGGAAGAAAAAAAGGCAAAGTCTTAAATAGTAATAAAAAAAATCCCATACCTAGTAGTTTTGCTAACTGTCTGGTTACAGGTTATGAATCCAACAAAGAGAGGGGAAAAAATGGGACATCCTGGAATGTTTACAAATCTACAAGGTAACAGCGCCTTACACAATGGTTTACACAGGGCACTACTAAATGCATTATCCCGTGAATCATAATTCACACACGATGCACTCCAATGTATTATACAATGCATATGCAATGAATCGTGCATAACACCTGGTACAGCACTGTAAATGCACTATAGAGCATTGCAACGCATTGCATAATACAGTGCTTGTGCAATGCACTACAATGCATTATACAGTGCACTACAGTGTGTGAGGCAATCAATGCGCACAGGAGACAGTACAATGCATATGCAATCCACGACCTGTTTTATAGCACATGTGCAATGCAACACACAATGTGTTTCACACTCAGGGACATGTGCCATGCAGCACAACGCATTATGCAGCGCCTACAGTGTTAGGATGAAATAATCTACATATGTACAGTAAAAAAACAAAAGATGCATTCAAGTACAGTGTGTGTCCCATCAACATGGAAAGGGGTTGTACATGGGCCCTGCTCCTACAGCCAGTGGCACCGGGAAGAGCAGCGCCGGAGTCACATGTAGCGTTCGAGTCCCGAAGCGAAGCCGGGCTGCCGCATGTAGGCGGGATTGGGGCCGAACTGCGGCCCGGCCAGCGCCAAGAGCGGCTCGGGGTGCTCGGCGCAGGAGGCGGCGGCGCGCCCGGGCGGCGGGCCCAGCCGGCCGGCGGCGCCGTAGAGCGGGGCGCTGCTGGGCGGGGAGTAGCCGCTCGGGGGCCCGGGCAGCGGCGGCGAGGCGGAGTAGGGGTAGCCCCGGCCCAGCGGGCTGGCGGGCGGGAAGCAGGCGGGCTCGGGGCAGCCGCCCAGCTCGGCGGCGGGGCTCAGGCCCAGCTCGGCGCCGCCCATGAGGCTGTCGATGGTGAAGCCCCGCGGGTAAGGGGCGCCGGCGGGCGGCGGCGGGCTGTAGCCGGCGGGCGCGTAGGGGGCGGCGGGGCTGAAGGCGGAGTAGGGCGGGTAGGTGGCGAGCTCGGCCCGCTTGAAGCGCTTCCTGCGGCGGAGGAAGCTGCCGTTGTCGAACATGTCCTCGGCCGCCGGGTCCAGCGCCCAGTAGTTGCCCTTGCCCGGGTGGCCCGGCTCCCGCGGCACCTTGACGAAGCAGTCGTTCAGGGTGAGGTTGTGGCGGATGCTGTTCTGCCACTTCTTGGGGTTCTCGCGGTAGAAGGGGAAGCGCTCGGTGATGAAGCGGTAGATGCCGCCCAGCGTCAGCCGCCGCTCGGCCGCCTGGGCGATGGCCATGGCGATCAGGGCGATGTAGCTGTAGGGCGGCTTGCCCCGCGGCACCGGCCGCTTGCGCCGCCGCCCG